GATAATGCGAATTGTATTTGTAAGTTAGACTAGATATACATACATAGAATTTAAAAATTTTTGACAGGAAAAGAAAGGTATTAGTTTTCTGTCTTGCCAAGTTTTTTTTGTTTCAGCTGTGAATTCTGTTCACTCGCTGCTGAGAAAAAAAGGCAGCTGCATCTGAGAGTATCCAAGCCTTGCTATGTACTCACAAACCTGAAAACCGGAGGAACATCGAGAGAGTGCAAAAGCACACAAACGCCTGACTCTTGTCAGTGATTGACTATTAGATTCTTAAGTGGGACAGGCTTTTTGTGAAGAATGTCATTACTTCACAGGGAGGCAAACATGTTTCCACAGGAGTTTTGCAAGCTGAAAGCCAATTCTAATTAAATTTTAAAAAGTTAGTCTCAGCTTCTCCCAGCACTGAAGATAGTAGTTGGCACCTGGATGTTACTGATTAAGAACAATTGTTAAACGGCTAATGAGTAAAGCTAGAGAGTGGTATGGAGTCACACGGAATTTCAAGACAAGAAAAGAATAGTTTGCCCAGTCTACCTACTGCTGCACCCAGGACACAATTTCTGATTGCTATTTAGAACCTTTATTGCAAGAACCTGGTAATTTGGTTAATTCTGCTGGATTGTTTACTGTTATTAGTCTGTATTTGTTCATGCATGTGTATACATATTCATGTGTACGCAAGGATTCATGTCAAGGGTCTCAATTATTCCCCACCTTATTTTTACTTTTAAAATGTTTATTTTCTGTGTATGTGTTTTGCCTACATGCATGTCTGTACCACATACATGTAGTAAATACTCGTGATGTCCAGAAGAAAGTGCCAGAATGCCTGGAACTGGAGCTACAGATGATTGTGAGCTGCCATGTGAGTGCTGGGAACTGAACCTAGGTCTGCTGTAAGAGCAGCCACTGAGCCATCTCTCCAGCCCCTAACTTAAATTATTTTGTAGTTTCAGACAGGATCTTTCATTGAGTGTAGAGCACACTGATCTGGTTAGACCAGTTGACCAGCAAGACAGGATTGTCCTATCTCCACCTGCCCATCACAGGAAGTACTTCCTCACATTGTTATGTCAGTCTTTCTTACGTGGCTGCTGGAGCTAAAACTCAGGTGATCACATTGCCGCTCCAGACACCTTACGAATGGAGCTGTTTCCCCAGCCCTAGTATTTTTTTTCTAATGAGGATATTATCTATCTAGTAACCATATGATGAAACTAAGTAATACCAAAAAATGTTCTAGGGTCTGGGGAAATAGCTTAGTTGGGAAAGGACTGGCGGAGTTCAGTCCTCAGAATTGGTAACACAGCATGTACTTGTAATCCCAATGCTAGGGAGAGGAACACTATAGATTCCTGGGACTCTCTGGCCAGTCAACCTAACCTACTTGGTAAATTCTAGCCAGTGAGAGCCTGTCTCAAAACAAAAGAGGATAGTATCTGAGAAATGACACAAGGTATTATTCTGGTGTAAATACACATATGCACATGCATGAATCCCCTCCCCCAAACATACACATATACAAAAAAGTATTCTAGAATTGTTAGATGAGTTCTATATTTATGAAAGTTTATTGACATTTGCTCTTTTATTTATGGAACTAAATTAGCATTTGTGTTTCAGTGCTTTAAAATACTTTACCTTCAGTTCAAAGGATAATATACCATGCAATTTTTATTTCCTAACTTTTGTAAGTCATAGGCTATTATATTTAAGGATAGCTGTACAAAACAGATGAGGAATTGTTGAAAGTTACATAATACAAGAAAAACTAGATTTAATGAAAGATAAGGAACAACCTAATAATAGACTTCTTCAGGAAGTCATTATTCCAAGAACTTATTAGTATTGGAAATACTAATTATTATTTTAAGGATTAATTTCCTATGTTACTGTCAAGGCAACTTGAATTTATGTGAGATCTTAATGATCAGTAATATGAAACTAGTGGAAATTTACAAAAGAAAAAAATATCACTATATGACACGATACTCTTATCCTGTTCCCAAACTAGTGACAAAATGTTAGATATTCTTGAGTGCCTGGAATACACACAAAATAGTAATGAAACATTAGCACAAATAATAGAAAAATAGCCAATACATATTTTTTCTTTGTTTGTTCTGAATCAGGGTCTCAATATGTAGTCCTGGCTGGCCTAGAAATTGCTGAGTACACAGGCTAGGCTTGAATCCGCAGAGATCCACCTGCATCTGCTTCCTGAGTGCTAGGTTTAAAGGCATGCTCCACCATACCTGGCTAGATGCACATTTTTAAACAAAAACTATTTTTAAAGTTTATTCATTCATCATTATTATTATGTGTGTATGTATATTCTCTCTCTGGGTATGTGTGTGTATGCGTGGGCATAGATGTCATGGAGGTTACAGGAAACCATTGTGGAGTTAGCTCTCTCCTTCCACCTTTATATGGGTTCCAGGAGTGGTGAACTTAGGTCATCAGACTTGCTTTACCCTTTGAGCCATCCTACCCATCCCAGAAATCAGTTTGACTAAATGTGTGCCATGAACTTCAAAACTGGGCATACTCTTAATCCAATAGTTAGTTTTCAAGCAGCCTATCCTAGGAGACCTTATCTTTTACTAAATAACTACAAACAAAAGGACTAATTTCAGCCAAGTGGCACAGGACTAGTGGTGAAGCAGAGACTGCAAGCTTAAGATCTTCCTGGGCTACAGTGGGAGTTCTTTCCAGTTTGTGAAACTTAGTGAAATCCATCCTTAAAATAAAAATGTAAAAAGACAGCCAGGAGTAGAACTCAGTGATTGATAGAATGTTTTTCTGGTTTTTGTGAGTCTCTAGGTTCAAGTGTTTGTTCTACTGCCAAACACACACACACACACACACACACACACACACACACACACACACAGAGAGAGAGAGAGAGAGAGAGAGAGAGAGAGAGAGAGAGAGAGAGAGAGAGAGAACTCATCTAAGTACTATAAAAACAGCGAAAGCAGCCTATATATTTATTATTGAGATAATATTGTAAATAAATCATGATGTATCCAGTCAATTGACTACTATACGAAATTGATGCCTTCATACAGTAAACAGGTTGAACTTAATTTATGGAAAAATCCAAAATCTAGAACTTTTTTTGAACACCATCATTACCCCTCATGTAGAAAATTCCATTCTGACTTCATGTGATAGGATGTAGTCAAAATACAGATGTATTAAAAATACTTTATATTCTGTGGGGTGGTGGTGCCTCATGCCTTAATCTCAGCACTTGGAAGCTGAAGCAGGTGGATATCTGAATTCAAGGTCATTCTGGTCTACAGAATGAGTTGCAAGAGAGCCAGAGCTACACAGAGAATCCCTGTCTTTGAAAAACCGAAAACTACTGTGTGTGGCTCCACAGATAGAGGCACTTACCACCAGCCCAGTCTGATGATCTGAGTTCTGTCCCAGGGACCCACATGGTGGAAGGAGAGAAGCAACTCCTGCAAGTTGTCCCATGACTTAAACACATGCACACACACTGGACATAATAAATATATAGTTCATAGGATGACATTCAGGTTATGTGTATAGGGTGCATGTAAAAATAAATTAGTTTATTTATTTTTATGTATGCGGCTGTTTTGTTTTGCATTCATGTCTGTCTGTGTACCATGGGCATAGCTGATACCTGATGCCTGCAAAGGTTGAAAGATTGTGCTGGACTCTCTGGATGGAGTTACAGATGATTATGAACTGCTATGTAGGTACTGGCAATTTAAGCTGGTCCACTGCAAGAGCAGTCCCATATAAATTGGTTTTATATTTAGACTTAGGTTTCATCTCCAACACACACATGCACACACACACACACACACACATGCACACACATGCACATATATATGTGTATATATATACACACACAAAGATATTACTGAAAGTTGAAATTGTTAAAACGTTAAAACATGTACAGTCCCCAAACATGTCAGATAAGATATTTATCTTTTACTTAAACATCCAGTATATAGTGAGTGATAAGTGAAATCAGGATACTAAAATATATGCACGCATGTGAAAAAGTACCAAGAAGCTATGTAGTAGGTATTGCTAGATAGTGCACTTAATATGTTAATCTTCTTCACTCATTTCTTAATTTTTTTAGATTTACTTATTATATATACAGTGTTGTGTTTGCATGTATGCCTGCAGGCCAGAAGAGGACCAGATTGCATTATAGATGGTTTTGAGCCACCATACAGTTGCTGGGAATTGAACTCAGAACCTCTGGAAGAGCAGACAGTGCTCTTAACCTCTGAGCCATCTCTCCCGCCCTTCATTCAATTCTTATTCCTATATTTTTATAGTGAGTTTATTTATCATTGATAAAAGTTATTTAAAGGGCCAGAGAAATGGGTCAGTGCTTAAGAAAATTTGCTGCTCTTCCAGAGAACCTGAGTTCAGTTTCCAGGACCCATGTTAGTTAGCTCAGGTGGCTCACAATGGCGTATAACTCTAGTTCCAGGTATCTGCCACCATCTTCTGCCATCCGTGGACACCTGTACACATGAGGCATGCACAGCAAAAGAAGGACTTATTTAAATTAAAGAGGCACCTTTCTCCTTTTGAAGAGAAATGGAAATTGAGTAGATGGGGGGAAAACTACAGTTGAGATGTCAAGTAAATAAGTAACTAATTTTTAAAAATTAAGAGGCACTTGAACTTATGTCCACTTTGTATTCCTTTTATCTGGTCTGAAGTGGATCACCTCATTTTTAGTAATAGTAATAACTGCTATGTACTGGAAGTTTTCTATATGTGTGAAGTTTTCCATATGGATTGTCAGGCAATCCTCACCGTAACTGAGCCATCTCTCCAGCCCTTAGTATGTTTCTTTAAAGGGTAAAGGCTCTAAGAAATAACCCCACTACCCTCATCTTGGTTGCAAGTATAGTAAGTGGGTTTTGTTAATGTCTTCAAATTGTGCGAGTTCTGTGATTCCTTATGTGATTTCTCTGGTGACTTTGAAGGTGGAACCTCACTTCGTGTGGTACAAGTGTTGCAAGCTCAGAATGTAGTGAGGAGCTGTTCTCATCCGTTTCTGTTGGAGATCAAGATGATTGCTATTCCCTGTTAGATGATCAAGACTTCACTTCTTTTGACTTGTTCCCTGAGGGAAGTGTCTGCAGTGATGTCTCCTCTTCTATCAGCACGTACTGGGATTGGTCGGATAGTGAATTTGAGTGGCAGGTAAGTTTCCCCCTCACCACACACACACACACATTAACGTTACTACTATATAAGTAAAAGTGGCAGGTAAGTTTTCCCTGCTTCTTATTAACATCATTCATTATATAAGTAAAGGTATAAATTCTTGTTCCAATTTTTCACTTCTACCTCTGAGTGTTTATTTAATTTTTTTCTTAACAGACCACTCACCTCTTACTAGCCATTGGTTCTTCAGTTAGGCTATGAAAAGAATCAGTCTGAATTGAATTCTTTATGGTTGTGAACTAGGCAAGAAGTCATGTTAAGACTTGCAGAGTGCCTTCTATTTGGGTTCCTTTTCAGTGGCACTTATGTTATCACTATTGGAGTTCCTTACAAGAAACATACATAAGTTGTTAACTCCAGACAGCTGGAATGTAAGTAAGTAAGCCATTAGCACCATGCTAAGCCCAGTGATGCTCCCTTTGCTTGTGTTGACATTCTTTGTTTAGTACTGCTCATAACCAATCTGAAATGTGTCAGCAACGATGTTGGGAATGAAATCCTGCATCACTATCCAGCATGGCAGCTCTCCCAGTTTAACATCCATGGCCTTTCTTGGTGGTATGACTGATGCCATTTTGGAATCTTGAGGAAGTAAAGTTTTCTTTTTATACTTTTTGAAAGCATGTTGTACAGTTAGGAAGTAAGTAGATGGACTATGCATTCTGTATTTTTGCTAATATGCCTTTTAGGCCTCTGATGCTACAGTTGTCCTTTTGTAAATTTTCAAATATTAAATAATCAATATTTTCTATGTAAAGTTTTACTCCACAATTAATAATCGATAGCATTCACGTGCTTAGAAGATACATATCAGGATTAGGTTAGATAGCAAATATGATAAAAACATTTCTACCATTATTATGTAATTTTTGGTTCTTATCAGGAATATACTGTAGTTTGTCATTTGGTATTATTTTTGTATGTAGATGTTTTTCTCCCCACAATAATTTTTTTCTTGTGGCATATATAATATGTAAAATATTTTCAGGGCAAGTTGTTTGAAAAGGCTGCATTATAATGAGTATAGTATTTCAGAAAATATATGCTACTTCATTGTGCCATCCGTTTTGTGATTGAGGACGAAAATAATATTAAAAGAAGCAAGCTTCCCTTGCATAGACCATATATGTTTTATTCAACAAATAAACTTGAATCCCTGCTATTTTGAAAGTCATCTACATATGTGAACTTGTATTTTCAAAAGGGGCTCAGATAGTATTTATTTGATTTAAAACTTTTTTATCAAACTATCACATAACAGAGGATGTTATAAATTAGAAGTCTCAGTCCTACTCTGGGTACCGCTATGAAGTGCTTTTTACAGATACAGGTGTATGTTCATATACAAATAGGGTCATATTTTATTCAATATTTGGCTGTACAAATTTTTTCAGATAATGGGATATCTCATTCTTCAGAGTTGCACCCATCATAACATTTTTAAGTTGGCTTCAGTTTTGTTTATATATGTACTATCAAGAGTGCTAGGCGGGGATATGCCTAATCCTACAGAGACTTGCCGTGCCAGTGCCAGGGGAGGTGGGATAACCAGGGGAGGGCCTCACTCTCTCAGTGGAGGAGAGGGGGGATGTGGGGAAGGACTCTGTGAGGTGGGGAGTGGGAGAATAGTATTTGGGATGTAAACTAATTAATTAAAAACAAATGAAAGAAGAGTGCTACACTGAATTAAGAGGTTTTACAGAAGAAAAATAAATTCACCATCCTCATTTTTATTTTTGTGTTATTTCAGCTTCTGTGCTCTATATAGATGTAAATATGCTTTGGGTAAGAGTTTATTTTTCAACTTTAAAAAGGTGATCAAATTCACCATTTAAATAATTTAAAAACATTTAATTTTATGTTCATTAATATACCCACAATTTTGTATTGATATCACCACTAATTCCATGGTATTTCTGTAGCCCCCCAAAAGAAACTGTTAAGCACAGAGTTCCACTTCTTTTCCGCCTTTATCACCTGACAAACACCAATCTATTCTATAGATTTATCTTTAAAGTATTTTCTATTAATTTAGTGTTTGCATGTATGCAAGTGCACATGCCATAGTATCCACATGGAGGTTGGAGTGCAACTTGTTAAAATTGTGTTCTCTTCTTCAAGTATGTGTCTCCCCGGGATCAAACCTAAGTTATTGGGCTTCACTGAGCTATTTTATCAACTTTCAGTTTGCCTTTCTTCATGTATAAATGGGCTTACATAATTATATATGGCTCTTGTAGCTGGCCTCTTTTTTTTTTTTTGGTTTTTCGAGACAGGGTTTCTCTGTATAGCCCTGGCTGTCCTGGAACTCACTCTGTAGACCAGGCTGGCCTCGAACTCAGAAATCCGCCTGCCTCTGCCTCCCAAGTGCTGGGATTAAAGGCGTGCGCCACCACCGCCCGGCTTGTAGCTGGCCTCTTAATTGTTGCACTGTTTTCAAGGTTCATTCATATTGTAGCATGTAACAGTCCTTCATTCCTTTCTGTAGCTGATTTTAGTTTCTCCTTTGTCTATACTCGATGTTCATGTTTTTTACTGTAGCCATCATAGCGAGGTGGTGTCATATTTTGGTTTTGATTTACATTTCTCTGATGACTAATGTTGAGCATCTTTTCATCACATCATTATCTTTAGAAAAAAACCTGTCTAAATCCTTTGCCCACTTTTATTGATATCTGAGTAATTATAAATCCTTGTTCTGTATTTTTCTTACTAAATATACAATTTATTAAATTTCCCTTTTGTAGATTGTCTTTTCACTTAATTGTGGCGTTTAATTTGATAATGCCCTTTGATAAAATTCTTTATTTAGACAGGATCTTTCCACATTGCACAGGCTGACCTTCAACTCAGGACCTTCTTAAGTCAGTTCTAGTTTTCAGGCTTCTACTACTATGTGCAGCAAATGATTATCAATATAGATAAGTCCTATGCATGTGTTTTTCTTTATTGTGTTTATGATACTGTATTTTAAAAATTGGCTTTACCTGTTTACCTGTTCCTTCTTAGAGTTTTAGAGATTTAATTCTTATAAGTAGGTCTTTGATGGATTTTGATTTTTTTTTTTTTTTTTTGCATATGGTTCCCTCTGCCTCAAAAAGTGAAGCTGGTGAAAGTCTATCTTTTTTCCTATTTGGAAAACCAAGTTTTCCATCGAGTATAATGTTAGTAGTTTTTCAGTAAATGCTCTGTATTATACAAATTCATTCCTCTGAATATTGACTTGTAGAATTTTTAAAATTTTTTTAGTATATTGATGTTTGGCCTGCATGTATGTCTGTGTGAGAGTCTTAGATTCCCTGTAACTAGAATTACAGACAGTTGGGAGCTGCCATGTGGGTGCTGGGAATTGAATCTGGGTCTTTTGGAAGAACAGCCAGTGTTCTAGCTGCTAAGCCATCTTTTCAGTCCCAATTTCTAGGTTTTTTTTTTTTTTAATTTAGCATCATTTGCTAAAAAGTCTATTGCGTTTCTCATGGCAAGTTTGTTTATTGTTTATTTTTGGACTCACAATTCTATTTGCTTAATGTCAATGTCTGTTCTTATGCTTGCACAACAATGTCTTAATTGTGGGTTCAGAGTATGTTTTGAAATTCGGAAGTGTGTGTTCTTCCATGTTATTGTTCTTTGTTTGTTTTGGTTTTGTATTTTTCAGACAAGGTCTCTCTATGTAGTCCTAGCTGATCTAGAACTCACTATGTAGATCAGGCTGGCTTTGAACTAGATCCACCTACCTCTGCCTCCCAATTGCTGTGATTTGAGGCTTGCATCTTAACACTCAGCCAGTGTTGTTGCTCTTTATTAAGATTGTTTGGATTTTGGACATCCCTTGCAATTCCATACATATTTTAGGATCAGTTTTTCTATTTCTACAAGATAGGGCAGTTGAGATTTTAATAGAGATTATACTAAACCTGTAATCACTATCTGCCCCGTCCAACAGGGCATTAAACAGGGGTCCGGGGAGGTCACCTGAAAGAGAGGATGGGGGAAAACAAGCGAACACAAAGAACCACTGCTTGTCTATAGGCTGATCAAACGGTAATTTTTACCTTTTCACACAGGGGTTATATACACAAAAAGGCAGGATGTGGGGAAGGGATTGACGCAGGAACATAGGTGTTCTCAGGGGGAGTACCGATATCTTCCAGAACAGGGTATTGGCTGGGTGAAGGTTCAGGGGACAGGTCACTATGACTCTGTCTATGATTCACTTGTCCTTTTCTAAGTTGGTACTATCCACCAAGGCTACCCAAGGTCTATGACTACTATCCAGGCTGGTAAATTTCCACCAAGGCTACTTGTTTATAGTATCCTATAGCCATCTGTTCAGTGTTTTTCCATAGAGACCCAAGACTTTGTGTTAGCAGGCTGACTAAGGCCTATTGCTGATTTTAGGCCTTCAGTGTATAAGCAAGGCTGCTCCTTACAACTGTCTTAATTTAAATAATCCAGTTCATGAAGGTGGGACTGTTTTTATTCATTTTTTTTCAATGATGTTTTACAGTTTTCAGTTCCAAATCTTAAACGTTTTTGGTTAAATTTATTATAAATTTTTTATTTTCCTTTGAATGTGGTATTCTTAATTTTTTATTTTCCTTTGGATATGGTATTCTTAATTTTTTCAGATTTCTCACTGCTATGTATAAAGCAATATACAATGCAATCTTTTAAATATTGAGTTTGTATTCTACAGCTGAACATGTTTGTTAGCTTTGCGTTTTCCCTCCTATGTGGGTTCATCTGTGTTTTCCATTATTTAAGATCATGTTATCAGTGAATTGTTTTCTCTTTCCTTCCAGTCTGTCTATTTCTTTCTTTTTTATTTATTTTTAAGTCAAATCGTAATTTTTACTTATTCACACAGGGGTTATAACTCAAAAAGGCAGGGCGTGGGGAAGGGAATGACACGGGAGCATGGGTATTCAGGGTGGGTACAGATATCTTTCAGTCTGTCTGTTTCTTGCTTGCTCGTT